CAGGAAGTAAAATTGGGCGTTCATTGGGGAGCTTGACGGTATATCGACGGTTAATTATGTCTGACATTAGTCTTGATGGTTAATTACCGTTCGTAAATTACCGCTCAAATGCACATTATGCGGAGATATACGTTGCGCATTGACGATATTGGTGAGCATAATTTTAGTCGCCGGATATTGGCCATCATTTCACGGTAACGATGCTTCCATTAACGTTACCGTACGATTATTTCATCGAAGTAACGCGCACATTCGCTGTGACGCGCGCGAGTCGCCGGGTTTCCTCGCGAATTTTGCGAAGGTCTCCGGTGCTCCGTCGCTTCCACGATTTCCCGCGCGCTACTTCGCGTCTCCATTCTTCCGCGAGACGTAGGTAAAAACGATATTAGATTTACCCAGGAAGCAGGGACCTTTTCACGTAACCTATGCCCGGAAAAACTCCGCGCGAACGCCGGAGAGAGCGATAAACGACGCGTCACGGCGCGTTTTCGCGATATCAATCCGATCGTCGCGCGGGAGCGAGAGATGCGCGCGAAATATATTTCTGGAAATAGATTATCGGTCCGACGACGTGGAAAGTAAAAACGCTGAAGCATGTTGCCGCGAATGCGATCCCGCGCCTCGCCGATACGAGATAAAATGTGAAATACGCGCGATTCGACAAACCAAATTCGCGACGTTAGCGCGCGCTAAATGAAAAAAAAAAGGAAACACTCGCTCATAATACGTCCGCGTGTATATACATCGCGAATAAATAAATCATTGCGCACGGTCTCGTTGTCGCGTCGATGCGGCATCGATTATTCGCGATTGCAAGATGATATCGCGACGGTCGCACATCGCATCGAAAATACCTTTTGCTGGAAGATTGATTGTCCGCGATTTAAATGGCTCCCCCCCTCCTTTTCCCCACCGATCTTCTTCCGTAATATTTATCGTCGCGCGCGATATCATCGCAAAAGATACACCGGAATATTTCGCCATTTCGTAATATTTAATAACAGCATTTGAACAAACAAGCGGTGCATCTCGAGAGTTCCGCTCGGTCGAATTAACGTCCAACGTAAAGAGCACGGGAATAAAACAGAATGCAGGAAACGATATTCTCGAGTGTTTTCCGATACTCGCCCCGATCACTTGACGTCCTGTTCTTAAATGTTACACGACGTCCGGCCACGCTGAGACATCTTAAATTACATCGCAATGTGAGGAACTCCCTCTTTCTCTCCCTTTTCCGTCCAAACTCGAACGCGGATATTGAAAAGCGAATACGAAGCGATGACAAAGGGGGAGAGAGCGGAGGGGGCGATGGCACGAAGAGCCGAGAACACATTTTCATATCGCATCGAGTAAGAAATTCCGCATATTCCGATAATCCGTTCCTTCGTCGTCACGTAGAAAACGTGCGGCGCGGCGTTACCGTATACGGCGAAACCGTGTCCCTAATGGAAAGTTTTCTTTTTCCTTTGGACTGTATTTTTCGTCGTTGGGCGACGCGTCGTCGTCTCTCGTCGTATCCTCCCCTCGAATTTCATCACGGCGTATCTCGTATTTTGCGCGATTTCGCATGTACATATACATGAGCGTCCGTACGCGCGCGCGCGCGGGCTCGGAGCTACGCGTCGTGATATCGGTTCCTTTCCGGGGAAAACCCAGAAATCCCCTGATTCGTTCCGCCCGCTAACATTGTCGTTCGTCAGGCTACGAGTAAAATCCTTTATCTGCTTCTCCGGCCGCGAGTTTTAAGGTATCAAAAAATAGCTCTCTATTCCGCGCGCGTCTCTCGCCGCCGCACAGTGGAGCGAAACACTCGAATTTGTAGTCGAAATCCTAAACGTGACCGATTCTTAAATACGATGATATGTTTTAAAAGATCCTGACACACTGAATTCAGATGTGCAGCAGTCATTAAAAGAATGTCTAGAAATAAAATATTTCGCAGGAATATTTGATGTGACATTATTCATATTTGTGAATTTTTGTATAGAGAAACGGAAATGATTAAGGTGAATTTATCATTATATAGATCGAACATTTAAATACGTTAATGATTTTTCATAATTCTGAAGTTGGTGAAATAGGGTTTTGACCATCAATTTTGGTGTTTCGCCACATTGTGTGCCGTAGTGAATGATTATCGTGGAATCAGCTTTCAGATGAAACTAATAACGAACTAATATATGAGAGATCTTTGAAAAAGCATGAGATTTGGACGATACAAACGAATAATGCATTCGTCACAATGCTCTCTGCTCGATAATATACACAATATAGTACAATATAATGTAGCTGAAAAAATTTCAGAATCTGTCGTATTACATATAACATTGATGCAGAAATAAGAAGCTACATTTGTCCCAAAATAGACAGACATCGATCCAGCAGAATCGCAAACAAAACGAGACGACGTTAGTTGAGAGAAAATAATTCCGCATTGTGCATTGTCGAGCCAGCTGGTTGATATTCGTTTGAATGTGTTATTCGGCTAATGCAATTTTCGTTGTACTGCGCGCGCTGAGAACGTGTTATAAAAAAAGCGCGACCTAACAAACGAGTAATTTTATCGAAAGCGGCTTCCTTCCGCGACGCGACAATAACAATGAATAAAATGCCGTAACAACGAGCGATCGATGCTGCGCTCGTCCGATTGCGAAAACTGTGCTTTCGCTTCTGCTAGCCTTTTTTAATTTATTTTTCAAATATCATCGCTTCTCGCGAGAGGAGATAAATTTCGCGGCGGCTCAGAAAAATGTCGTATTTGCGTGAAATTTATCGTTTCGCCGGATCGAGATGGCGCAGTTTCCGTCTGCCACTCGCCGTGGCGATATTATAATTGAATTATCCGCATGCATCGAATAAATTTACTCAACGTCCGTTGCGTGACGTATCGTCGCAACCGGCTGCCAACCGCTCTCGCCTTCCTCGTCCCGATTTCCATCCCGGTCCATCTTTGGCCACCGTGTATTCATAACGGACCATAGACATATAGAATGGACTGAATATTGCCGTTGTAAAGCTGAAGCCAAGGTCGAAGGACGGAGATATGTTAATAGTGGTGCTTTCCCTGTCACTATTGCAGAAAGGGGCAATGTAGGGAAACAAAAGAGTGAAAGTAGACATAGTGAAGAAAAGAGAAGAACAACGTATATTTGATTATGTGAGAAGGCACATAAGTAGTGCATTAGTACGTGTATTCGTAATTATCAGTTCCTAATACTTGTAACGGTCGGTATGCACTTTTTAACTAATCCGGCTGCATTAGTTTAAGAAATTTACATATACATTGGAGCGTATGAAATGTACGTGCGAGATTTTCATGCTTCAATGTGCGGAAATTTCTTGAAGTCTCTAATACAGTCAGTTCAGCTAAAAAGAACAGACCACACGTATCGCATTTTTTTCCTTCTCACCTACACTCAACTACACAATTAAACGAGGAAAGCATTTGATTGAAGCAAATTGATTCTATTACCTTCTCTTATTAATGACGGTTTCAGTCCTCCAATGAGAATGCTCAGTCTATTCTGCGACCCGTATTCCGAACGTATATAAAACGATATTAGCACACTAACGAATCAAGAGGTATGAGCATTTTTAATCTCCTATTTTAAACGCGGTGATAACACTGTTTCAGAAAAAAAAACGATAATCACTCACGTGTTTTTAGCAAAATCCCTTTTTAGAACACCCGATAAGTTCTCAGACAACATAACGTTTAAAATCAGGACATAAGACTTCTCAAAGATGTTTTAAAGACTTTCAAACATCTTATTTACAGATGTCTTTAAGTTGTTAAATGTCTTACGTTTCGATTTTGGACGTTAGTTGTCTAAGATAACTTAGCACGCTATCTTGTGAGCGCGTTCAAAATATGGGCCTGTAACGTCTGTCGTAACGAACGCTCTCTCCTTCTCTCTCTCTCTCTCTATCTCCCTCCCTTTCTCTCTCTTGCTTTTCTACCCTCTCGCTCACTCATGCAGGAATTCCGCGAGTATCGGGAAAAGAATGCACACACGGCGCTAATAACGATCACCGGCTGCGAATGCCGTACTTCGGCGCTGCGGCCGACGACGAACTTCGTTTCTACGGCCGATTAACAGAACGAGAGCGCGAGTGAAAAAACGCGGTTAGCGCGCGACCGCCACTCGGTTAGATTATGCGCGCGGGACGTAAAACGCGACGCCGGCGTCCCGGACGCGCGTGATATACGACGTCGCGTACCGCGAAGCGACGCTAAACGATCGCGCGACAACTTTACACGGCACTCCCGATATTGACTCCGCGAGCGCGAGTCATTTTTACGAGTCACTCGCGCGAGAGTCACTCGACGATCGATGCCGCGCACGGTGGTAACGGTCGCGGCGCCATTTTACGAATTGCCAACCTGCCGGCGATCGAAGATCAAAACTGCGCTTGATTACGAAGGCGATAACAGATAGATCGATACATCGCTCCCGTTCGATTGTACCTTCTGTACTCCTGTGCAGTACTTTTGCCGCCCCGGCGAATCACGAGGATCACTCTGAGTACAGAAAGTGCAGCGCGAAAGTACAATCGAAGAGAGTACAGCCAATATTTACCGTTCGCCCCGAATGAAAGAATAGCGAGATGCTCCGGCACCCTCTCAGTATGTATACACACACACGGAAGACGTTATCTCATTCTTAGAACATGACGCGGCCAATTCATTCATTTTACGCGAGCCTCTCATCCGTCCTCCCTCTTGCTCGTTCTCATCCTCCTCCCTGGCGTCGTGCATACACAAGGGACACGCATAAAGTCGCGAGCGTATGGTCAATCATTGAGTATCCGTCCGCTCGCGAGGACAGCGCTGATTGGTCCGTCGTCGCCGGTCGGCTGACGCGCTCGTGGCTTTCGGCTCGCTCGAGTCGGCTCGCTCGCTCAGTCGTACTCGAACCGCGCATCGGCCAGGGTCGTGTGCCGCCCTCTCTCTCCCGCGGAGTTCGCCGCTCTGTGTGCGTGGGAGCGCGCATACGCCAGGGTGCCACGCGAGAACCCGCACGTTGTCGCTCTTCGCGCGCGTGTGCCCTCGCACCGCAAACACACGGGACACACTCGGGAACGAACTCGGCGAAAGTGCGTCGGTAAGTTTCCTCACTTGGTTGCCTGTCGCCATAGCGTCGTTCTCGACCGAGATCTGCGCGACGTTTGCTTCGAATCGCCCGTTCGCGACAAGCCGAGAAAGAAACAAAAAAAGAAAGTAAGAGTGCCCATTGGCGAATTGTGTTCATTTAGAAACCTCGACGACGGTCGTTCTCGCGTGGAGAAGTAAAGGCGATAAATCGGAGCATGAAGACCGATGGCAACGCGCAGTTCGATCATTATCAATTACTCGCCGGCGCACGGGACGATCGACGCTCAACGACGACTACACAGCGGCAACGAGGTTAACGTAACCTCTCTCGTGCGCGCTTTCTCTTTCTCTCGCACACACTATAACCGAAGTGTCGCATTAGACGACGACTAGTGTCACTTGTCGTTTTAAATGGAGGAACGCGGCGAACTTGTCGGCAACGCAGCTCCTCCCCGCAGTCGTCGTCGTCGTCACCGCTCGATATCCTCCGCGTGAAACTCGTGTCGGACGCGCTCTAGAGAAAGAGAGGAGGAAGAGAGAGAGAGAGAGATGATATAGAACGAATGAAAAATCCGATAACAGCGGATCGTTTTCTACCCGGGAGGGAATATCGCGCGTCGTCGTCGACGTCCTCGTCAGCGGCAGTGCAAGGGAAAGGGTCACCCGAACCCGCGAATCGAACACGAGGCAGGCGCGCGCGTACTCTTTCAAAGACGATCGCGCGATTCGAATACGCCATTTTGCGCGCCCGGCGATCATCATCCGCGGCCGGAGTGTTCGTCGAGCTGCATACGTGCGAAAGAGCACTCCGACGCATCGTCTTCAACGTCCTCGGGCGTAGTTGGATGCTCCTGGCAGCCGACGACGTTCTCTCTCCTCCTCCCCCGCGCTCTCGCTTCGCCTCGAGACGTCCGTAATTCGCGCGGCACGATCTCGGGCGGTGCGCGCAACCGGAGGGAGATAGATACATAGATAGATCGTCTTCGACGTGATCTGCCGTTGACGTGACCTAGCCCAACGTAACTTTCGCGTCGCGGCACACCGGTGCTCCTCCGGCGAGGTTATCGCGCGTGTGTCAGTGTGTGTGCTCGAACGCAGCCCTTCCACCCGCCCAGCCTGCGACCTTCCGGACCCCGCGAACATCGGATGGGCCCGTGGACTCGACTGCGTTGACTGATACTCCTGCCGCGGCTGTGGTGGTGAGTACTAAAGCGCGATACTTAATGCGACGTTTTCACAGCATGACGGAAATATCGGCCGGCTGCTCTCTCGCCCGAGTCAGGGCGACACGCGGAACGCGAAATTACCGAATTTACATCGGCGAATTTATGAAGCCGTTTTATTTAAATATCGGGTCGCTCGATCGTTCAGCCCGCTCGGCGACGGAGGCTCCCCGCTCAAATGTTCATCATCAACGCCGTTTATTCGTTACTTTAAATTCACTCTACCTCGCGGCAAATCGAATTTCCACGTGCGGAAACAAATGACCTAAGCGAGAGCGGCGGGACGCTGGGCGTAAAACGCATCGGGCATGGGAACGTATTTTTTTAATTCGGCATAAAGGGCAGAGCGCGCGGGAAATTAGGTTAATGTAAGCTAGAAAAGAGTTGCTCATTCGTCATACGAGACAAACGCGACTGCCGTTCCATCCCCGTGACCGTTATGCCAACGGTGGACGCGTGTGCGTACGTACGCATGTTGCTATAACATTCTATTCTTTTTGGTGTCATTTTTTTTTTCGTCGGAGCTGTCTCCTCTTTTTTTCTCTCCTCTGAACCGTGGTACGTAACGCTGAAAAACGCGGCACTTTGCGAGGTCAATACGTTCACCGTCGCACGACGTATCGTACGATAACTCGCGTCAAATTATAAAATACACGGTCGCGGGATCCTGTTATTTACCTGGCCAGGAGGTGGCGGCCGAGAGGGAGGGGGGAGTGACGTAACTTTTCGGCGGATGCGGAGGGCTCAACGGATTGCGGAATATATACTGATACTGTTTTTTTTTCTTTTCGAACCCCTTTCACCTCGTACTATCTATAAATATTCAATTTATGCGCGTCACCGTACGGGTGTACATGAATATTTAACCATCCGGTTATGAAGCAAGACAGAAGCGTCTCAAAGTTGCGCGCGGCGCGCTTTGAACCACGGTATATAAGGACATTTTTAGCCCGTTACTTCAGCTTGTTGCTTTTAATCACGAGAGCCGATTCTCCTTCGAGCCGATCTGCATGCAATTTCGCCGACGATCTCTCACGCATATTTTCGGCACGAGCGCGCTTCGGAGTATTTGCCTTTTAACCCTTCGCCGCCCTTTATCGAGCGCGCGCGTTTCCTTTATCGCATTCCCCATCGATGTGTTTCGTCTCGGAGATGAGCAGAAGAGCACAAGCGTGGCTGCGGAATATGGTAAAGGTGTAAATGTTGGATCGCGCTCGGGCTATTTCAGTGAATAATGTCGTCGCCCGGCGACGTGTCTCGCATGTGTTGTTGCAATATTAAGGGAAGCATTATTTCCACACCTCATTATTATCTGATGCATGTTAGCTGAATTATCGAGTTCCAGACACGTTAACCGGAACCCCTGCATTTTCTTCTTACCATCCAATATCCATGTTAATGCGCCGGAGTCTCGTGTAAAATTAACGACGAAAATCATCCGCCGGAATCACTCCGATATTCCGCTCAGCTTTCCTTCATGTAGCGTATTCAATGTTAAAAGACACTTCCCAAATCCCGAATTGTCGCGCGCTATCGGGGCGATATTAACTCGCGAATGCGGCGGACGTGCGACGGGCGGAACTCGCGAATATAAAATTTCACCGCGCGCAAACAAAAACTCGCCGAAGCAGCCGGGGGAGCGCGACATTGCGCGATATTTGAAACGTTCCGGACAAAGGTGAGGGGTCGGGTTAGGTTGGCTTAAACTGCCTAAGGATTAATTGCGTCCGCAAAGGACACCGCTGTTCGGTCGTCGCGGCAAAAAGGCGCGGTCGTCGCGCGGAGAAATAATATCCGGCCGCGGCGCTGTAAAGGCTCTGGCCTGAACCGCGGCAGGATCTCGCGTATATTTCGTTGGCATATGGCGCCCGAAAATAGTCGGCCGTTTTGGAGCGTCTTTCCGCGGGTCGTTTAAGCGAGAGAGAGAGAGAGAGAGAGCGAGCGAGAGCGAGAGAAACGTAGTACCACGGCGGAGAAAGATGAGGTGGGTAGCTGGCGCTAATTGGTTAATGCCCGTCATTACTATACTTGCCTGTGCGAGTGTTGGCTGGGTAGAGGGGAGGGGGAGTGGGAAGAAGGCGAGGAGAATTAAAACCGGGCTATCAAGCGGCGAGAGAAGAAAGAGTCCGGGGAAAAAGGGTCCTTCCTCCGCGATCTTTTTAGCGAGGGGTTATTTCGGTCTCGTTTGCACTCGACCGCGTGCTCCGGGAACGTGTAGAGGATATACCGGCGGAGTTGTGTAAAAATAATCGTCCCGTCGCGCTCGATTAAACGCTATCGTAATGAGCCGTCGGCGGACTAATCGCCGCATGTCGTCCCGCGATGACACTACGACATTAATCTCGGTTCATTCGGCGTTTCGGTCTCGGCCGTTCGCCTCGGCGTCGATCCATCGAATACGGGTAGAAATTAATCGAAACGTGTTCTCGGCTGTAGTAGCTCTAGATAGGCGTGCCCCAAATAGATTTATCTATCTTCTTTAGGTCTAGATATCGCTTAGAAATATAAATTTTGAATGGAATTTCGTGAATGGAACTTCCGAATAGGCACTTAACTAGATGCTCCTAACAAGGCCTGTATTAACAGGGCCTATTCAAGGCCTAGTCAACCAATTTCTGAAATAATTTAAAGTGAAATAGTTTATAGTCTTAAGGAAGCTTAAGAGAAACTTACTGCAATAAGCTCGAAATCAAACCAAATTATCTAACTTTGATTTCGGTTTCCAAAAATAACGCTCAAGTAAAAAATCTAAGACGTAAAAAATCTAACAGGCCATGAATTCATATTTTTCTTATAAGTTTCTCATAAGTTGATAGCATAACAAGATATGGTCCAGTCAAACGTATCAAGATAGGACTTAGATTTACAAATTTGTCCTTAACATATACGAGCGTTACATTTCTGTACAGGGCCTAAGTGGACTTCTTTATTTATAGGGCTTAGATACAAATGGGGAAAAATCGTACAAGGTCTGTCCAATACTTGTTTCAAATTTCTACCCGGGATAATGCTGTTTAATTCCAATATTTTCGTATTTTAGTTTCCGAGGTTGCCTTTGAAGCGCGAAATGGGCGCGAGGTAATTGCAGAGGGGGCCTATTAAATTGTGTGTTCTTACTGCGAGGGCGATGTCGATTACAACCGCGGGCGCATTCTTTTTCATTTCGAGCAGCACGCGTGACCGTCGGGTTTGTTCGTCTGGAAGTCTCGTTAAGGTCATGCGAGCGGGACCTTATCGTGAATACACTCCGCTCGCGACCTCGGGGCACGTGATCCCGCAATTAGCAGTAGTCGACGTTTACTTTGGCGACAAAGGGAGAGCCGTCACCCCTCCGTTATATTTAAAAAAAAATGCGTGAATTTCATGGGAGAGACGTTCTCCTATTTCGTGCCCTCTCGTTTGTAATTAAATTTTATTTCTGAAACATGCCCAGAGAGAGCGACAAAGAGAAGGAGGAGGAGGGGAGGGGGGGGCGGCGGAGAGGGAGGCAGATCTATTTACCGTGCATTCTGTGCAAAGTAGTTTAAAATTGATTATATTAATATCGACTCGAATTATATCCATAATAGGCGCCTATACATATATTATGTATGGTGCATTATTAAATTTCATTTGCGGGACTTACCTATGTTGAATTACGTTAATTAACTTCTACAAGCAATTTTGTAATTTACGTAATACGAGTAAATCGATGATCAGCTTATCGGGCGAGTTTCCGTTGTTGTTTGGATTGCGAGCGCGCGCGCGTCCGCGCGCATTTACCGAATATTACAGTAATTATGCTTTTATATGGCGCGATGGACTTAATATGCGCGTATAGCGCAAAATGCATGCGGCGGTATTTCAAAATTGCGGTTTCTCCGTGAAAATAACCAGAAGATTAGCGTGCCGGAATAACGAGACCCCGAAAGCCCGCGCGGATGCTCCTCCTCCCGCGAAATTTGGCATTTTAAGGTGGGTACACGCGCGATTCCTATCTCCCTCTCTCTCTCTCTCTCTCTCGCCTCTGCTTCGGCGTCATAAATATCGCCGCGCATTACGCTTATCTCCGACATATTGCGCCTCCAGGTCCTTCAAATTTCCGCGGTTACATCGGCGTTACTCTTTCGTTTATCTCGCCGACGCCAGCGACTACAAGTACAAAAGCGGCCGTTATCGAGGGCTCCCCGAATTCTGCGTACAAGCGTTCGCGCCCGCTCGATTCCTGAGCGATCGGTAACTGCGATTCGATTCTCGCACGTAGAACGAAAGTATGAGAAATTGAAAGATTCCAGATAGGGCGGTGTTCGCCGGCCGACGTGTAAGTCCGTAGTCACGTGAGGCCGAGTGACTAACACCCTCGCGTCTTTGCTACACGGGAATACACTTATGCCGCCCAGGTATTCATTTTCCGCTATCGTGAGCCGTACTTCTCGCGCAAGTGGTTCGCGAGATTGAAAAATTCTAGATAAGAAGATGTTAAACTGCATCTACCCCGCCTTCGAGCGCGACCGCGAGAGCATCCACCCGGATCTCTCTCTCTCTCTCTCTCTCTCTCTCTCTCTCTCTCTCTCTCTCT